CCAGTTCGGTTGGGGCGTCTTCTGGTTGCCTCTTCGTTTGACCCGGTTTGGTGCTCCGCTCCGCATCGTCTTCCGGGCCGCCTGAAAGAGTCCAAAGCCGTGGACCAGGCGATGCACGCGGCCCATTTGCTCGCGGAGCTCGCGCCTGGAGGGGTGAAAAAGAAGAACTAGTGACAAAAAACAACAAAAGCTGGCCTTGTTTGCCAAGTGGTTGAAGAAACCAATCATATAATATATATATATATGCGTATGGATACAGTTACAGTTAGATTTAGTAGTATTGCCATGATCCAACGAGCCTCAAGGAATTGCTACACATGTGGTCGTCCCGCGTCACGAGTTCACTCGCCAAGTGGCAGAGAAGCCTCGTAGACTCGGACCTTGGCGTCCCGGACCGATGATCCCCCCGTCGGGCCCGAAGGATGCGGCTGAGGGATGTCTGCACTCATGAGGGATGCTCACACAGTCTCCCCGGAGGCAGATGGAGTGCAGTGAAGTCACGGTCGCAAGATATCCATCCAGCTCAACGACAATCCTTGGAGGAATGGAGGAATGGCTGACCCAGAGCCAGGCATGGCATGTGTTGGACGGTTGGACGCTTGGCCTGTGGGAAACGTTTGGACACTTGGCCTGCCCGAGGTCATGCGTGTTGGTCGATGGATCGTACATGATAGAGTCAGGCCGATGGATTGCACCAAGAGGCTGACCACATCGACCTTCGCCGTCTTGAAAGTCTCTGCTAAACCCATCACCTGAGCCCAGCGAAATCACTGCATTCACATAGACAGAAAGGAGTCGACTTAGAAGGCATGTTGTTCCTCACAAATGGTACAAGGGACTTCAACCGCAAAGCCCAAAAAGGAAAAGAAGAGTTCAGCCCTTTTCCCTCTTCTATGCCCACTACCAGTCAGCAGCTACTAACATGTTGGTTCGCTGAGCCAGCAAGCCACATTGTCCTTGAAACATCTGCAAACTGCAATGCCGATAAGCCCCAAGTGATGCTATACCAACAGGGATGCAATGGCGAATACAACGTCCGCAAAACGCCGCAAAACGTATTTGGCTACTGGCTTTCCTGCAGGCAAGCCACGCACATGAAGTACACGCATTCCTCCCGGGATTTCATCACACGCACGGCCTCCACAAGAGGCACATCCAACCATATCCGAGCCCATTCGACCAGCTCCAAGCAGCACCGAGAAAAAACGAAGAAAACAGCTCAACCAAACCAAACTAAACCAAAATAACCAACCAACATCAACCAACCAACCATGTCTCCACAGAATACACAAAACAAACCCTCGACTTCGACACCGTGTCTCCGTTCGGACCTGCCTTTCAAGGCTTGAAGTACCGAACGCACCTCCTGGAAATCGTCGCAAATCCTCCGTCGCGACGGGCAGGAGACGATTGGAGACCGTGGTCGCGACCGATCGGAGCGATCGGAGCGATGGGACGATGGGACGATGGGAGATCCGTTTACGGATGGTTCGGTATGTGAGGTCTGTATCCGAAGATGAACATGCATGGACTTCCATGAACTGTATTTCTTCGTAGGGCCTTATGAGACAGAGAACAAAAGCTACGAAAATATCTGTGCATTCCAAAAGTTGCCTGCAGGGCGTGGTGTCAATCACACCCATTGCACTTCTTTGCCGGCAAGTGTCACATCACAGTAGAGAAGATCGATCAACTGCCTTGGGGCAAAGTAGGCGCGCATTCATATTCAATCCTTTTTGGCCAGCAGAGTTGACCAAGAGCAACACCTTGTGGGGGGGCAGTGACCTTTGACCTTCCTACATTTCTACATAAGCCCTTCCATGCCATTTGTACCCAAGGATGGCCACCTTTCGACCTGCACGTCCAACAGCCCACTCTTGCCACGAAGATTGATGGAAGCACAACACATCTCCATGTGTCACACCATTCAGTTGTAAAGTGCTCTTGCGCACCACTCCCTGACAGCGTTGCTGGTGACCCTCCCTGACAGCAAGGTGCCTCGGATTGTTGTGACGAGCCAACGCATCTTTGGCACTGAAGAGAGTCTTGATCTGTGGACGCACGCCTAGGGTACAGACAGGCTTGTAGAGAATTCTTGCAGGCTCTTCGATATGGAGTGGGTGCTGCTGTATACAGGACGGCACAAGCCAACGTTCAATCAGGTTCTCGAGATAACTGAAAACCCTAAGCGAATCTCACGCATCCCAACCACCACCCACCTGAAGAAGGCGAATAATCGCGTCCCAGGGCCAAGTTGATGGGTTCGCAGACCTCTCCTGGCGCCACGAAAGAACGACAGAAATGCATCTCGACCATCGTTTTCTGGTCTTTGTGCGGAAACAGGGCGCAATCCAACGTCACAGCCACGTATGAAAGGAAAAGCCAAGCCACGCTCAAAGGCCCTAGCATGACGACGGGCAAGTAGAAAGTTGCCGCGGAGGCAATTGGCCATTTCCTCCTGGCAGCTTGGAGCCGTGGAACGCCGCGGTGGAACGTCGCGGTCGCGGTTCCACACTTCCATCGTCCTACACACTGCTTCCACTTCTCTCCTGCATGAGTTCCTCGAACCGAGTGTTGTCCTCGCAGCCGAAGACGGTCGAGACCTTCGCCAAGGCGGCTTGGACCAAGCAGTCGGACAGTTTCGATACGTCCCGACAGCAGTCGGACGGTTTGCACAGAACCAGGGGAGGATAGGTGGAGGAACCAGGTATTCTATGGTGTCCATGTACGAGTAGTACCCCCTATGATAGGGCCTTTTCTTTCAAGAAATCAAAAAACACACGCTTAGCTTCTCTCCCAGACACTTGAGCCGAGTTCTCCAGCACTGACACCACTTGCCTCGGTGGAAGGGAAATCTTGAAAAAACAAGAGGAAAATGTTTCTAAGGCTGTCTGGAAAAGGGCCTAAGACCGTCAACAGCATCAAGTCTCTCACTATCTCTTTCTAACGGTATATCGCTCTATCTCTATATCTCTCTCTCTCTCTCCTCTCTTTTCTGACCTAAGATTTTGTTGCCATCAGGCTCCCACACTCTAAACAAAGGTGACCCCTCATCGCCGTGTTCCAAGCGGCAGCATCTGTGAGCACAAGGCTTCCAATGTGAGCTCATGCTCCGTGGAGATGCGGTACATACTGTTGAAGCCTCAGGCGTCCGGGGCGTCCGGGGCGTCCGGGGCGTCTGGGGCGTCCTTCGCGGACTCGTCTGCGCCAAGGGACGGGCAGAGGTACCACCTATGCCGCCCACCACCACTGGCACCAGGATGCAAAGCCACAAAATGGCAGAGCCACCTCCACCGGGGGTGAGCGCTCTCTCTCTCTCTCTCTCTCTCTCCGTGGTTCCAATATGATCTCAACCACAGGGATCCCCATGTATATATAATGTATATATAAACCCACGTGATTCATTGCGCCACGTCCACCTTGCTCTTGGCCCGGCCCTTTCAGGTGGATTTGCCCCAAGGCCCTCCGGCCATCTCAGTTTTTACTGATCCAAAGCTTCCCACTGGGGCCTATCGAGGCGGCCATTGCTTGGCATAGGATTGGGCACAAGGATACCATGATCAAAGTGGACAACGCCTCCAGGGCGCCAAGAACGCGTGCTTCTGTTGAAGCACAACTTGTTTTGGATACATGACTTCACAAGGCCAAAAAAGGAAGCTGCATAGACTACCATGCCTTGCTTTCTAATTCCAGGACCGCAAGGATCATGAACATGAAGGCCAGCCAAAGCTGCTGCAAGAACACCCACACTGACCCCGCGATGCTCCAAGGAATCCTGGAACCGCTTTCCATGCGCATCGGCGAGACACGCAGACGACGGCGTCCGCGTCACGTCGTCATGGCTTACGACGTCGAGTCGTCCGTCCCACCGGCAACCCTGCCGTCCGTGTGCGAAAAACTGGCCAAACGACCCACACGAAATAGTCACCTTAAATATGCAACACATGGTTCATCATGGTTCCATGACGCTCACTACAGGGTCAAACGCGTTTTTCCTCACATCATCCACGGATGAGCCTGAAGTGGCGATGGATGATACAGTAGCCGCTGCTATCCTTAGCGATTGCGCGATCGCGCCATCGACACATGGCGAACGCACCAAAGGACGTGGTGGAAATGAGAGACAACATGAGTAACCGGTGCCCTTTGGAGCTCGCGTTGGCACACATGGTGCTCTCACGCCCACATCCAGTGAAGCTTGCATGCGCCACACCCACGTCACCCTCCTCCAACCGCCCACGTCGAAAGAGCCGAAATCGTCCCAGATCTCCAAGCCACGTCGTGAAATTCTCGGCAGCCATATTGGCTACAAGGGAATGGCAGCTTGATGTTTTCCTCCTCCAGTTGGACAAGTTGACCTTCTGTCTCTAAAATCCGAAATTAAAGAGAATGGCATGACTTTCTCTTTTAAGGAGGCTTCCCTTGACGTTTGAGCAGATCCTTGATTGATAGACGTGGAACCTGAGGCACTCCCCCAAACTACCTGGCATTCACCCGGACCCTCAAAACGTTTAAGATAATATCTCACATCATCTCACATCCAATTTCGACTATGTCAAGTAGTGACTGCCAGTTCTTGTTGTCGGAACTTCGTTCAATTGCTCGTCCATCCCACCCCTCACGGCCCGTCCCTCGCCGCACGGCCGCCTCAAACTCCTGACATCGCATGTGCCGCAGGTTCGGCGACACTGGCGACTTGGGATCGATGGTCACCGAATGTGCCCTGGCGGCCAGGCACGGCACGTGACCACCGTGACGCCACGCTTTTTTCGGTCCGTGTTTTTTTCTTCTCCGTCGCGGTCGATCGGGTAGATCTGCACAAGAATTGGAACCCATTAGCTTGGCACATCGGACTCATACTGAAAGAACATACTGGAAAACTGCCAAGATGTAATTTGATCATCTCGTTGCATCGGCGGAAAAAATGACGCGTGACTCTCACGGTGTTCATATGAAATTGTCCGCACCGGCCGCACGGTTGCTCGCTCGGCGCCTTTTTTCGTCTCGCTCTTTCGCAAGGCGTCCGACGGCAGACCGGTCCGGTCCGCGTGCCGCGTGGACCGAGCGGCGTGAACACCGGGCAGCCGACCGCGGGTTCCAGAGCGGTGGTCAGAACAGTTCGGCCCCGCTTTCCAGCTGTTCAGCATCCTCTGTTTCAAAGATGCCATGATTTACCATCTTCTCCTGCCACTGATCCAGGATCCAGTGGAGAACAGTTTCCAAAACACAGCAACTGGCTGGCTAGGGTTGTGCCAGACAAGGCTGAGTGATTTTTTGGCCTCCCCTTCACTGTTTGCGCGTGCATGCCCCCGATCACCAGCAGAACAAAAGGGGACGGAACAGAGCATCGGGACCATTGGGGGAACTCATCACGTGAGATTGTCAGCACAGGTTGTCAGGAATCACGTGATTCACCAATACAACAACATCACGGAATCATCAGAGACCCTTAGGAGCGAAAAAGGACCACGTGGCTCCACCGGTGGAGCGGTCCGATGGTCGGTCCGAGGTCTCTCCACCGCAGCACACGCCTTCATTCCCTCGGCATAGCTGGCCCATTCTGCGAAGCTAACACTACCACGTCCTGTGAGAGAGGCAGCTGGGTGAGCCCCAGTTATGTTAGAAGAAACTTTCAGTTTCGGGTCACAAGCCGTGATAACAGCAGCTGCCACTGCACTAGTCAGTTGAAACCATGGGGAAAATGACACTAAACTCAAACGAGGCATGAGTAAGCATACATAAAACACGTCCAACGCTCTTCTCTCCGAACGCGCCTGGCCGAGTGGCCTGCGCGCGGATCCGGTCTGACTCCCACTGCAGCTGGATGAGCTCCTCCGGCGGCACAGGCCAAGCGCCCTGCGGCGCCTGCCCTTTGCCGCGTTCCACGGTGGGCACCTCGACCGACATCGACTCCATCTCCACCGCGGCCTGTGAGGCGTGGCGCGGGAGGTGCGTCAGACCTCGTAGGTCCTCCTGAATCCTAGCAGCTAGCAAGTTGAGTGAAGGTGAAGGTTGACGAACGACGACAACGACCACGACGACAACGACAACAACAACAACAACAACAACAACAACGACGACGACCACGACCACGACCACGACCACGACCACAACGATGACAACGACAACAACAACACCACCACCAGCAGCAGCAACAGCAACAGCAACTTGCACTGCAAATGGTTGCAAGTTGAGATCTCAGCAAAAGGCTGAGAGCAGAGCACACTGGCCTCCGGGCGCAGCACGCTCACAGACATCCAATCCTTCAGGGCGCTCGCAGGACGACACTCAGGAAGTTTCTCGACAGCCCCATTCACTTCACTGGCCCCTCTACCTACAAACTGCCTCATGGTGCACTGCCAAAAACATGACAGTTGCCGTAGAATCCACGGCCCATGGGGTCTTTGTGGAAAGACTATGGGAAGCATTGTCTCCAACCCAGGAAGCCTCCGAGGGCATAGCAAACTCCTTTACTCGGACGATGTGGTTGTCATAGGCCGACCCCTTGCAAAGCCTCCAAAGAAACAAGGGCGAACCTGGCTTCAGCACATTGTCCGCCACAACCACGGCACCGGGCAGCAAGAGCCCCAGCTGTTCAATCACAGAGAGATCCTCGTGGTAACCTTGGGTGGGGTCTCCGCCCACCCTGCTGAGACCCAGTCCCAACACCCAAACCGAACCGCAGGACCGACAAACCTGACCACCGCGCGGCCACGACGAAGCCAAACAAGAAAAGCACCAAAAGATCTCCGAAGCAAACTCCGAATCTCGGGAGCCCTTCTGGTCCATAAAGACCCCACCGAGGCGGAACTGGTGTCGCCCGCCATACCTCTGAGGCAAGCGTGGCAAGACGTCCTTGCTATGACCCGTCCAAATGTCGATCATGTGCGCCATGCCGGCATAGGCCACCATGTTCCGCGCGATGACCATGTGAGCCGGGTCCACTTCCAAGGACACCACCCGGGCACCGGGCAAAGCCATGGCCATGCGGAGGGCGGAATAGCCACAGTAGGTGCCGATTTCAAGGATGCTGCCACCTGGCACTGCGTTCACCATGCTGACCCCAAATCACCAGCTAGAACGGCCAGTCCAATTGGTGAGTTTGCTGAAGTTTATTCATCATTACCCCCTTTGCCGCAGGGTGAGCCCCCCCTTCCAAGGCCCATAAGTGCTTTGTTTTTCGTTCAGCAAGGCCACACAAACGCACACACTCGTGGGCGTTCCACTTGGTCCTCCACCCCCACCCAGGCAGCCACCGGACCGGGTGCCTTTGGGACAGTTCTTCATCGCTTTGCTCAGCACTGTGGTCTTATGACGGCCCGCCACCTGTCAGGGATACCGATGTATCACCACTGCTTTCAGCTAGATGGTCCGGATGAGCTGGCACTATGGGTCTGTATCTGGCGCACTATGGTCATGCAAGGACAACGGGCAAAAACCAAGCACAATCAAAGGATCTCGCAAATCGCCTTCAGCCACTGACCAGCGGGATTCAAAACATCCTCGCCAAAGCGCTCGATGGCATCGCAGACGGAGCTGGGATCTCCAGCCGTCGCAGTTTCAAAGACATGCGCGAGCCTCAGGAACACGGCACATGTGCTGATGAGAGCCTTGTACCGTTCAAACTGTACAGGCCGCCCTTGGTGGCCAAGTCTGTGCCGGTCCAAAACGGGCCTCCAGCTGACTTGCCAAGCAGCAAGCGAAGCTCCTTGGAATATGGTGACCCTGCCTGCCGAGCGCGACCGGATTCAGCGACTGGCCGAAGCAGGGGCAGCGGAGCGGCGAACACGCCGAGGGGGTTCAATCATCAAGCCTATATACCCCCTGTCAGCCCCACGTCACCAACAAAATGGCTCTTTCGCACCCCCACCCGCTCTCCTCCCATCCCGCTCTCCTCTCTCCCAGCCTGGATGTTGGAGCCTTTGAAAGCCTTCGATCGTCCGATTTCGGGTCAGAGAGTCGGGAACCGAACTCTCAAGGTCCGTCAAAGACTTTCAAGGTCGGTCTAGCAAGTTCCCCGCCCTTTTGGGACGAATCTGAGACACCCATGTAGATATGGAGCGCGTTTTTTGAATTCTTTGGGGTGTCAGACTACTTGGTCCATGAAATGCCAATTCTGTCTGATCGCAGCTCTGCTTCGCCCACGCCGCAACGTGGCGCCACGGCCCACGCCTTGGGTGGCGGTCGTTCTGTCGCCAGTCTCCGACTTCCAGGCACGCGGCGGACATGCCCAAGCGCAAAGCGTCGCCAGAGGCGCATGGAGCCAGAGGTGCGCAAAGCGGTGGGTGGCTAGGTGGTTGGAGGCACAGGTGGCTTGGTGCTTCGTATCATGATTTTTGGTACCAACGCAAAACCTGTCCTCACAGGAAAGGGAGGTCTACTTTTCCTCTCTCTTCATCGCTCGAAGGCTGGAGAGTTCCAACGGACAGGACCTCCTCTGAGTGAGAGTAGCTGCTGACTGCCTTATGAGCGGGGCACCTGGGCTTTTGCATCCTTGTCCGGGCTTAGAGTTTGACCACGCTGGTTTGGGCCCATAGATTTCTCAGACATGGCAAGCTGTGGGGAATCAACAGCGGCTTGAGCTGGAAGTGGCAAGATGAGGCCAGTTGTCAACATTCTTCATCGGCTCCCAATCCTGTTCCAACCCTGCAGAGGAAAAAAGAGAAACGATAGGAAACGTCTTCCTTTGCACAAGCCATGGACGACCAATTCCCTACTTAGTGATGCCATGTAGATCAACAAGTGAAGCCCTTCCTTTGGGATGATGCAAGAACCACGGACCAGAGACTTAAGCGTTGCCACACTAGTGGCTGGTGGGAGTGTCATCTTTTCCACAGCGCTATCGTGTCAAACGGCGTGGCTGCAAGAAGATGCCCGGGAGGTTCTGGTACAAAAGTTCGCTGATCCTCACATGAGGCGATGGTCGGCACAGGTGGGTCCATCGGTTCCAAACACTTTCAGCAAAAACCATGTCCACCAATCAACCTATGCGCTCTTAGTCCTCAACCGTGCGCTTCGCATGGTTTCAATGAGGAAAATGGCGCCGCGCCAGGCGGTGTTCTCTCCACAGGCATGGACGCTCAGGCAGTAGGTGGACTCCTCAGGGGACGGCACCGGCGGGTTCGGACATAGACTGGGAAGTTCCTGGCCGCTCCTCTTGAAGAGATAAAACTAGCCGCCTTTGAGCTTTGCCTACTCTTAGGTGGCAACCTTTACACGAATGGTAAACTGGTAAGCCTTCAAAATGCTTGTCCCTCATTGCACGTGTCCACGACTTGTTGCAGGATGGTCACATGGTCCAAGTATCTCCCCATGTGACCTAGAGGTTCTAACCTCCAATTATCCGGTTTCTGTTTCTGTATGTTCCTGCGGTGCCCCACGCCGATCATGACTCTATGACCCACATCCACGACCGATGTCCTCCACTTTCAAGGCCTTCATTTGATGCTCCTGCAAGATCTGCAGCGACCAGTGCCACAAACTCTGGCGGCGGCAGCTACTGGCACAGGTGCTCCACACGATGGGGTTCAAGGTCCTCGCTGCACCAAGCACTTGCCAAAAAACTGCACCAAGGCCACCAAACCAAAGCAAGGGTACAGGCTTCCCTTCTTCATCTAGGCATTAAGGAGCTTTCTCGTCTCATCTTACCCATGGCACACGCCTGGGCAGAGCTCTAGTTAAAATAGAAGGTGCATCTCATATTGATATAGACATCAGATATGCTGGGAAAATCTGAGGAGAACGGTCTGCTTGACCATGTTCAATCTATTCTATTGTCTTAGTATTCGTGAACAAGTCTCCGGACCAAACGCTTCCCGAATGCCACAAAAAAACTGCTCAAACAACCCACTCGCCATCCGAATCTGCATCAAACTTGGAAACTAGAATGCAAGTGCAATGCACTCTCAAGCTAGGTCTGACATACATATATATATATATATACATATCCTTCGCAAATTCCCGAACCCTCCGCCCTCGTCCCAGCAGCAAATTGTCCCTGTGCAGTACCTACAAGGCGCCCACATATCTTACACACCTTCCCCTTTGCAGTCAAAGTTCAGATCATGGTGACGCAAGGCATCCAAAGTCGATAGCACACTGGTCCAAAGGCTTTCATGTTCCTGCCAGCAGGTGACTGTCAATTCATGTCAATTCCAAACAGAAAACTGATTCCATGATGGCACCAGTCGTTTCGCTCAAAAAACCATCAACAACTGCATCGTCACCTGTGTATCAAAACATTGGGAACATTGGTTCTGTGTGGCGTCTCATTGGAGCTGAGACGCGAATGCTTTGGCCAAAGAGCCCATAGAAATCACATCGATGCGGACGTCCGAGCGCTTCAGATCTTGCAACCTCAACTCATGGCTTTAAGCCCAAAGAAACGGCCATACCCGAACTCCCTCCTACGAATTTGGGACAAGTCTCCCAAAAGGCGTATGTTCACGTTCATACTTTGCGAGAACGATTCCAGAAGGCTGACAAACAAAGCGTGACCGACCAACTGCCACACCGACCGTCCGTCAAGTCCGCTGCCTCGCCCCGAGAGTAAACACGGCCGTAACAAAACAAACGACCAAAAATGCCACAGGTTTGCTTGATACTTGTTTAAACAAGTATGACCCTCCACAGGCACGTCGTTGAGTGGAAGCAAAAGAATTCCAAAGCCAAGGCAACTCTGCCATCCAAATACCAAGAGACAGCTGTGTAGCGAGACCCCGTTGAGAAGCAGCTGCCATTCCAGAAAGGGCAGAGTTCAGAAGCCTCAAGCCCCAACCAGCGCAGCCCCCACTTTTGGCCAATTCAGTGTGATGCGTCCACACGTTTGTGTGAGGTGTTTTGGTGTAGAGATGGCACCAGTGCCTTCACCAGTACACCGCTATTGTACCGGTGCTGGGACACTCTCTCACCAAGGCTCGTGGGGTCGGAGGTGAAGACCTGGGTCTCTCGGGCTTCTTCCATGAACTGCAAAGTCTGCCTGCGAAAAGATCAAGAGAAAGGCAGTCTCTGGGCAGTCTCTAGGAGTCTGGGGACAGTCTTTCAGATCGGCATGTTTTAATATAGTAGAGCTTATAGCCGCTGGGTTTTTCCATGTCTTTTATCAATTAAGATACCATAAACCCATTGGCCATTCATTAAAGATATTTTTGGAAGACAAATTGCAAATTTATTAATGGGTTTATGGATGAGATCACCTGAAATCTTCAAAGAAAATGTTCTTGCATGGTGTGTCGGAGATAAAGAAGGACGATGCAAAGAAGGAAACACCCAAAAAGGCAGCTGGGCTCTTCAATTCTTCTATGCCTGGTGGGCCATTTGCTGTTTGCTCACCCCGTTTGTTCCCAACATGCACCGGTTCATCACCGTCCTAGCTCCATGAGCCACACGCCGCCTCCATTGGGCCAGACGTCCCATGCCACTCATGGCGTTGTTGAAGACATAGGCGTCACACCGCAGCTGGACCACCCGGGTCACGCGACACAGCTCGACGGCCTCTTGCCACTGCCTGCTGCTGGAAGAGCCTGGCTCCCAGCGGTTTATTGACGGCCAGGTCCATCCAGAGCGTTTGTTTTTTTGAAGCTGGATCATCCACAAACCTCAGCCAAAAATTCATCTTGTGTTGAACCAACCTGACATGTCCAAATGTTCCACCAACCGCTTCCGGGGAGAAAAACACAGGCGCCACTTTGGCCATCAGGTCCTCCTCTCAGCACCTGCGTGGCCTCTCCGCACCACGCGGCAAGAAGGAAGGAGAAGACTCCTTCACTCTGAGTAGCTGATGCGATGTGGGGGGCTCAGCTGACCGGCTAGAGTCGAGGGGTCCGAGACCTTTTTCTCTCCCACGGGCCTCACGGGACACATCCGCCGCGCGCCTCGGACGGCATTGCCCAGGAAGATGGCGTTGAGGCGCAGAGCTTGCGCTTGGATCTCCTGCAGGTTCAAGTCCAACCCTTTTCTGGGACAAAAGATGGACCACGCCGAGAGCACCACCCTTCTGAACGCCGCCGCCGGACTCGGACCGGGGGGGGGTTCCCTTTTCGGGGGGAGTTCCCAGACCTGGAGGCACCACTCTCATGGCGGTGCAGCCCCAGTCACGGGGTGCAAACAGAAGCTGGAGAAAAAGAATCGACACCGAACACTCTTTGGTACTCTCCTGTCCCGTGGCCCCGCGGCTACAGCTCGGACCGGACCGGCTCTTTTTTCGCAGAGAGAGAGAGAGATGGCGATCGCCGGGCGATCGTTCACCTCATGGATGATCACCGCGTAAAGGCTCACAGGTGCCGAAAAGCCCAGTCCTGGAACAAAAGCCCCGCAGAGGCCCACTTTCGTGGGAGGTGCCGAAAGGCAATGGCCAGGTTGTTGATGGTCACATCGGTGGGCCTCCGGTCGTGGGTCATGATGCTGGAAAATCGATCACGAATCACCGGATTGCCCTGCACTGGGCCACTGGACCTGCCTGCTGCCAGAATGGCGCAAATCATCATACAGCATGAGCGACAAGCCCCAGCGAGACTTCAAAGCCGCGGCGTGCATGGCAAAGCCTAAGCATCAAACAGGGCGACTCTCTCAATACACGAGGTCTGTTCCCTCGTGTTGGGACCTTTGGAAGGAACAAGTCATTTAACAGCTTCTTGCTGCCTCTGAATGTGCCAAGCTGTGCTTCAAAAGATCGCCGACAAAAGACTGTGAGCAGCACCAGACACCTGCACACTCCTTGCATAGGCACTTTGCAGCAGCTTTATGGCTCGCGAGGTCTCCATAGTCCGGGCACACGCTGCAAGCATCCCTTCCAGCACTGCCCGCTGAGAAACGCAGGCCTTAGAACATGCACTGTGAGTCTCACGGGTCTCCCCCCAACAGTTCCAGCTGACACCGCACCAACCCATTTCCGCACCAACCCCCAGATTGATTCAGTCCCTCGTTCTGCCTCATTCCTCTCCAGGCCACTGTCCCTCTAGCCTCCATGAGGCACAAGGCCTTCACCCAGCTTTGTCTTTGAAACGGCGCCGGCCGCACCACACACCATTCCTCCGCCGCGCGGGCGGCAGCGGCCTGGAGCGCCGCGCGGGAGAGGCGCTTGGAGTGGCGAGCAAAGCGTAGCTGATGGAGCTGGTCCTCCAGGATCCTTTGGCGAGGTCCAATGGAGGACGAAATGTCCACACGGTAGATCAAGTGTGGCTTTAAGAAGGAACGGATATCATGGAGTGGATGGAGATGGTGGAAGATGTGGTGTGCATTTATCATTGGCACAATAAATGGTCAGGCAAACGTGGGAATGGGGACTGGAAAGTGTGACACACTGGTTTGTCGCGGGATTTGTCAATGTTGTTGCACTCACCGGAAGTCTCGTTTCAACTGATCTGCCAAGGTTCCAAGAGGCCATTGGCCAAGCCTGGCTGAGGCTGAGCGCTTTCAGAAGCTTTTCAAGTGCCATATCATCCATGCGGACCCCTTCAGCAGCCCGCCTCGAGTTGGTGTCGCGAAAAGGAATTTGGTTGTCTTCGACATGCTTTACCCGTTCTCCCAACCAGCTTTCCACGAAGTTGTTAAGGAAAAATCAACTTGGAGGCTATGTCACCACATTGTCTTCTTGAGGTTCACAGAATGGCCCCTAACCTGTCTGGATTGCAGAGGAACATGAATTTCCCAGATTCCAAACCGCCAGTGGATGTGAACTGAACCACCACTCTTCAATCTTGCACATCTACTTCCTACTCTTGAAGGAAGAAGTCCTGCACTGCACAATCACCCTATGTATGAATACTGAATACTTGAAAACTATGAACTTCATGCGGTCCAGACTTCCTTCCTTCAACAGCTGCTGCCAGAAACCTCGGTGATGATTGACAACCAAAAACCCATGCACCTGCCACGCGACCACCATCAGGTGCCTCCTTACCATGTCACAGGTCGCCCTCCAGGTGGAATTCCGCGCACCCGCCGCCAGCACCAGGTTCCAAGACCGTCGGCTGGGACGAAGAGAGGTGACCTTGATGTTCTTCATCAGGTCATTTGCCCTTATCCAAGGTAAGGATGTCTTTGCATAGGCCTGCAACACTCAAGAGTTTGTGTCCAACATCCTGACTCATGGGACCTGTCGGAGCCTCTCACCCACGCCATGCGTGCCATGCGTGCCATGCGTGCCTTGCGTGCCTTGCGTGCCTTGCGTGCCTTGCGTGCCTTGCGTGCCTTGCATTCGTGTTTTTTTCACACGCCACTAATGGTTTGATTTGTTTTGATTGGATACCGTTGGAAACCCGTGCGCCTCTGAAAGTGCTTGCTCCAGGAGGGGCTCTTGGCGGTCTCTCGCAGCAGCAAAGGCTGAGAGCGCCACGTTGAGTAGAGTTCTCCTGTGCGAGCCATTTGGTCCCAAGCCGGTGCAGAGGGATCCTTGATTCCATGATATGCACCAAGCACAGTTCCCTACGCAACCGCCCGACGGCATACATTGGCATACACACACACACACAGTTCAACATCAACCACACCCATCCACCAACCTTCATCTCCAGGACCATCACTGCCAGTCGTCTCCCACTCGGCTCCTCTTCGCCGTTGCTCCTCGCCGGAGCTGCGACGTGTCCGTCGCCACGCACTGCAAGAGCTGGAGCACGGTGGGCCACGCGTCGGCCGACACGCCGGCGCGCATCGTGCGCGCCAGCGGCTGGACTCGAAGGTAGCGATCTCAGCAGTGTTCGCGGCTCGGGACTGCGGGTGGCGGTCGGCTGAGGCCCCCCCAAATGGACGGACTAGAAGATACTATATAATGTATTCGGTGCAAAGTGAGGACGACCGAGCCACCAGATTGGATCTTCTCCAAATCCTGAAGGCAAAACGTCCATCCTTAGCTGTGTTGGCTTTGAAGTGTCCCTTTAACAAAAATCAAATGAATTGAAGGGTGTTCCCTATCATCTACGTCCAGTTTCTACCAGCCAGGCTGTGCACAAGGACCTTGCTCTGTCGCAAGTCTTCATGGAAAGCGTAGCCTTTGTCCGCCAAGAATTCGGTGAGATCCAGGGCATCCATCCACTGCAAGCTTTGTGCAGCCTCCAGTTGGACGTTTCAGCCCCCTGTGATTGAAACGAACTTTGCCCTCTATGACTCGCAAAACAAACGGGCCAAGACAGTTTCACCTGTCTTTCGGGCAAGATTGTTGAAGGTAGGGATTTAGCAACAGGAGCCATCTCCGACATGCAGGATCAAACAAGGATGGCCATCGCACCAGAACTTTGCCAAAGGGGGGCCGGGCTTTGAATATTTTTGAACACTGGAAGGTTTGGTTTTTGGATTGGTGCCTTGCATGTGCCTTGCATGTCGGACACTGTGTCACCGTGAGCCAAACGGACGCAAGAGGTAGAAAAGGATGGTCAAAGGCCTTGCCTGGCGGACCACGTGCGTGGCTTTCCACAACTCCGGCCGCAGCCCGCTGTGCTTGGCGGCCTGGAGGAGATACCATGCTTTCTGCACCTGAAGGCCCACCGAGTCACCTGGGAGCGAGTCGAAGAGGCCGATCTGGTTCGGTGGTTCGCTTCAGTCTAAGGACTCAGAAACCTGCAGTTCAGGTCAGGTCGAAAACGACCCCACCTTGCAGACCATGCATGCCGAGTGGCCAATTCTCCGTTCCACATCGAACATAGCATGGTGCAGTCCGACCGCATCAGCGCCGCAGACGTTGGTTCATGGAAAGGTCGTCCCTACTTCTTTGGCCAGAAAGCCGAAAAGGTTGAGGGATTCACTTGCTTCTCCGAGTTGCAAGTTCTTAGGCACTTAAAGAACTTGCTTTAACTAGCCATGGCACAGAATGTCGCAGACTGTTGCAGTGGGGGGGCTCTTGGTGGGTCTTCTGACAGATCTGCGGCGTGGGCATTCACCGGGCAAACATTAGGGGGGCAAGGAACAAACCTGCAAATTCACCATGCACTGCCCTTTTTGGCTGTCCGACTGGTCTGTTTAGCTGTTTCCATGGAAGCTGTCCAGGCAGAGGCATGCCAAGTTTCGAGCTTCGAGCCATGAAGACCTTTGATCCGCAACCCACAGCCCACCCCTAATCACCACAGTGCCAAATCACCCCTGAGCATGCGCCACTGGCGTGCGTCCCGCACAGTCCTCTCGCACGCGCGGAGGTCGCGCGGGAGGCCCGTGCCTTCCCAGCAAGACTGGTGGATAGATGGGCCTCTCCGAGCTGTACTTGACAATGGGGTCGGTGTGATCGGCAGCCCGGGCTTTGGGACTGCACTGGCAACGCTTCAGCAGGCGCGCCAAGGTGCTCTCCTCGAACACGGAACCGTGGGACTGTGGCCAACGCGAAAAGGCTGGACTCTCAGGAACCGCGGCATGACGTGGTCGGCGCTGGATCTCTGCACAACTCCGCAAGGAGTCTAAACCCCTCACATGTGGGTTACGCCCCCTCTCATTGTGGCCTTTTCACCGACACAGTGTCAAAGCCCCCCCCCCCTCCTGCTCGACACCGTGGATATGCACCCAGCTCCTTGGCTCAACTCGTGCAGCCAGGGTGATTGGGCTGGGCCACCTAGAACTCGCCTTTCCCTGCTTTAAGAGCAGCAAACCTACCAAGTCAAGATGTGCGCGTCCAGAATAGACTGCAACTGTACCCTGCTGCGGAAGCCCAAATTTGCACGGATGTTTCTCCCCAATTTTCAGCAGCCAAGGAACTCCAAGACCCCTTTGCGTCGGAGCTTCTTGACACTCTTGAAGAGCGCCTTGGGGGGCGTGTTTGGCAGCCCCTTTTTCACATCGGTTGTTCACATCGGATAATTTAAATCAAACTTGAACGTGGAAGGACTCTATTCTGGGACATGAACAGAAAGAATTGCAAGTAAGTGCCTCCTCCAGTTCAGATCTCACACATGTTCAGGGAGATGTAGCTCCCGACGCTGATCTATTTTGAAGGAAATCGCTGTGATAGGGGGAATCCACTGGGGTTGACACGAGGAGACCTGGAAATGTCATCTTTGAACACACGTCTATACCCTGTTTCTCTGGCTCATGCCTCTGGAAAGAGAGAACACACAACTTCCACCAATATCTAATGTGTATATCGATCTATCTATCTCTCTGTCTCTCTGTCTCTGTATGTAATGTGTGTGTGAGATGCCAAAAGGCTCTCATAGCAAGGACGAAAATCACCATCACGGAATGTGTTTTGCTTGCACCCTTTCAGACTGCACAAAGCTCCAACTCCTCGCCTTTCTGTCCTCGAGCCGCACTTTGGGACATCTGTCCAGGTTGAGCGCCAAGCACTGGCGAGCCACATGGTTAGGGAGTGAGCAGCTGGGGGGGGGAGGTGGAACTCTGCTCTCAAGGCTCCCTCTTGGGCTAAGCTTGAAAGACTCTCGAGTTAGCCTTGCCCTTCACTTCCACATATTTCAATTTCTTTCATGAAGTCTTCTCATTCCAGGGCTTACCAGGTGGGAGCCAGCCAGCGCTTTGAGCTTGATCACTCCGAGGGACAGAACCTCCCATCCACACCTCGAGATTGGAGAGCGTTGGAAACGCCTGGCATTCCCGGCACGGCACAACTGACGACGCAAGTTGAACAAACGACCAAGGCGTCACAAGTGACCAAGGCGTGAGATCACAAAAAAGAAAACGCTCTCAGGGTCTGTTCTGCTGATACTTTGGGATTTCATGGGATATATGGTATGTTATGGTGCAGCTTCACGGATGCCTGGATGGTCGCAGACAGCATGAAAGCTTACCTGTATGTTAAACCCACTACCTGGCCTCCACTTCAAAGGAGGACCGGTGAGTTCACATCACCATCTTCAAAACCCAAATCAGCAAACCGTTTCATTAGTTTTTGTGGCGTCAACCTGTTTGAATTCCAATCTTGCTAGTAAGGTCTGCATTGGGAATTTCATGTAAGCAAAAACAATGCGGCATAGACAACAATAGTTCTGTCTGGAGAAAATCCAAGGATGACATCAAACGCCGCATCACTGTTGCATTCATAGCCACACGAAAACATACCCGGACAAGGCGGTGGAAAAAGGGAAAGCAGATGAAAGCGGCGGCCAAGCAGGGGATAAGGCCTGGACAAGGCGGTGAGAAAAGGACTTGTGAGGGCGGAGAAGAAAGGCCCAAGGCACCTGTGGCAAACACACCAGACAGGGCCTGGACAAGGCCCGGACAAGGACCAGATGAGGCCACTAAACTGAGGAACAACGGGAGGACACAGCGCGGCCAGAGGACAGCGGGAGGACATGAAGAGGACAACAAGAGGAAGACACAGGATTCGCGAGCGCCAGAGGACAACTGGAGGACAACACCCAAACACGGGGCAGGGTTCAGGGGTCCGGCCAGAGGCTGTGGTCGGTGTCTTTTCCTCAGAGAGAACCCCAACAGTAAACTGTTTAGGGAAAAAAACTTAGGGTGGATGTGCACCTTCCAAAAGCTGGGCCGAAACCTTGCACACCAGCAAGGTTTAAATCCAATCTTCCGGTGTTCATCCCTGCGAAAAGACCGGGACGACATGCCGTCGCGGCCTCGTCAAGACCTTCAATATCCTCCAAGTTCACCAGCTTGGAAAACCACAGCGCGACCATTCGGAGTTGTGGCAAGGCCTGAGCTGTGGGGCATTTGTCCAGCAGCATCCCACTCAGAGTGGCTTCCTGGTGGTTTCCTCATCCCGGACTCGCAAGGACACGGCGAAACGGATCTTTCCGAACCAACAAGTGAGGTGATGGTGACTTCCTGTTGACTTCCACCAGGCCACAGCCAGCGCAGAGCCCAGGCCAGCAGCACTGCGCAAAAACCTCGACCCGTTCCCGGCCCGAACGGCGGATCGGCGGCGTTTCTCGCAGGGTTCGAGTCAGAACGGGCGACAAGAACCAACCAAGACACTTGCAGCCGGGAAAGCGGAGCTCCAAGTGAACCAAGGATTTGCAGCGCCGAAGCCTAAGTGGTTGAGTGATGTTGAATGGTTGAATCACCACCACCCATGTTGGGGACCAAAACACCCAACCACCAGCAACCGCTCCTTCGGCCCTGACTCCACCACCTCCCAACGTAGCCCGGCGCCACTCGCCCAAGTGGCTCCTCCAGCGCTTCCAAGGTCCGTAGCCCCGTGAAGCCCAGATCCAAGCGAAGCACCTGGCCACATCGGCTCGGTCCATCCCTCGGTCCGTCGTCTTCGAATCTCCCCGCGCTCGATGCCGTCGAAGCGGAGACGGTCTTCCCTTTGGAGATCCCCCACCGGTCGGCCTCCAAAGATTCGGGCAAATGATCCACCAGCATCGCCAGGTCCTGGAGCTGAGACAGGCTGGGTCAAGCGGTGGGCCTCCCGTCGGTTTCGGACCATCCTCGGGCTGTCCTGGTCCGAAAAGCGGGTGCAACCTGTAAAGGACAGCTGCACGGCTCGCCTCTCGCGTCGCTGCATTGAAGGATTACCAAAGCCCATCAAAGACTTTGGCACTTGTTCTAGGAGTCAACAAAAATCCAGAGGTTCTGCCACTCGAACGTCTCTCACCTAGCCTAAGGGGCTCCCCAAAAAAAACCTCAAAAAAAGACTTGCGAAGTGAGTGCGAAAAGGCTTGCGGAAGCCATCTGTGAGTATCTGACTTGGCGCAGTGAACCCGTTTCTGGTCCGCCTGGAGCTATCCGCCGACAATGCCCTTGCTAAAGGCGCAGCATCCCAGCCGTGCAAAATGCAGTTGCACCTCAGATGCTTTGTGGAGATGCTTGTGGGACTCTGGGATGACAAGGTCTCAACCAGCTCTTGCAACTGGTCCTTGAAGGAGCTTCCACGTCTAAGGACTAGATGGTTCAGATCTACAGTATCTTCCGCCAGGTCTTGCTGTATTGTAATCAGCCAAGGCGAAACACCTGCAGCCAAGGGCACCAGCTGGCCAGTGCGAACTGCGCGGACAAGGCACAATTCACGGTTTGGTAGGTGCTGTGCTCCTTCGAGGGCCCAGCCGGCACGGCTGAGGCCAGCAACAAAAGCGACAGGAAGTAGAGCAATGTCACCATGTTCCACTCCACAAGCTGCTTGTGTTGTCCTCGGGTGGGATGGCGGAGAGATCCTCCAAAGGTGCATGCGGGAAGGCGATGCTGTTCAGGATCCTGGTCCTAGCCAGCGTGAAGAAATTCGGCGAATCGTCGCTCCCACCGGCTCATTTCGAACAAGAGCTTGTGCAAAAATGCCAGGGAATGAAGCTTTGGTCTGGTTTGGACACCAGCTCGACCTTCGAAAGGCGTCTTGGTGTTAGTTCCTGTGCTCGAAAGCATGCATGCCAAGTAGTTATTATAGTAGAACCACGGAAGCAAACCAAACGTTATCTTGACTCTGACCAAACTAGTGTTTGGCAACTGGACATGCGAAACCCACCTGTCGGCTTCGTGGCTAGCAGATGCTGACAAAATATTGATTCGCAGGCCTTGCCGCAAAGTGTGAGAGAAAGGACATAATTAAAGGTCGCGCATGCCTCTGACATGGTACACTCTCCTGACCAGCCGCAACTTACAACAAAAATGGTACAAACAATTGCCCTTGCCAAGGAGAGACAACAAGAAGCTATATAGTAGAAACAAGTGCCACGCTAGTAGTAACAGGTGCCTTACTAGTAGTAACAAGAAGCTACTAGGAACAAGTGCCACGCTACTAGTAACAATAAGAATATAATTAGAATTGTCTCCTATGCGCGCAGCTCAAGGCTTGAAGTCCGGCCTCGCTCCAAGATTCGCACAGGGAATGTCATCTCCCTGCATGTCCTTAAGCGTGGGTCGTTTCCATTTGTTTGGCCCCCGCTTCTGGGCCGCCCCCAACTCCAAAGTTGGCCAAATGCAGAGAAAAACAAAGCTACTTCACTCGTTTCAAGGGCGACTTGCAACTCAATCACTCCATGCAGGTCTCAAACCTCACGATGCCAGGAGCTCCGTTCGTAGCGTCCTCGCTCCTAGTAGTACTGCTCAACCCTTCTGGAGTTCCTAACGTCCGCACATGTCTCCCAAGAAAGCACCGACCTCTTTCGGGCCCAGGAGTCTTATGATGCAAGCCAAGCAAGGGCACCATGTCCTTCTCGATACCGGCCAGGCCGTCGGTGATCACATGGGCTACACCTAACCGTCAGCTCAACGAAGGCAGGCCATGAGGGGGATTCCTGGAGGTCAGTGGCCAGTGAAGCTGCAAAAAGGACAGCTCGCGCCCGCCATCGGCGGCTGGAGCTCCATGGACTGGAGCTCTGCACCCCTGCAACCCCAGAAACTACAGTAGCCAGCAAGCCCAAAAAAACAAACACACGCACGAGGCACGCAACATACACAAGTCCAAAACATCCAAATCACAGGACCCACCCCCCCTGGTGACGGATCTGCTCCGCCGAAGTCGGAAGAACCCCATCCATCCGGCCCCCCCTCCGGTCCGGTCCCTTTCATTCTTCGTCCGCAGGGGCCATCGGCGTCGGTGGCGCAGACGTCCAACAGCAGCCGGCGCTCGTTGGCGTTGCGCTTCTCCACCGCGATGGCCTCCTCGAAGCCTCGGGTCGGTCAGCGCGGTCATCGCGGTCCAGCGGGTCGGTGAAGGGCCATGCGCCAGACACCCGGGGGTAGCTGGGGGCGCAGCATGCGACATGAATCATATGTGATATGGCTTTATGGACAGCATACGGGTTGAGCGAGGCCAGCATGAAGATCGTCAATATTGAGAGGCATGTTCTGAGTCCGTACCATCTGGTATCCATGCTCAAGCATCTGCCACCGAAACTGTCCCAAACGACGCTAATCTCCGATCGCCCAAATTGTTGGTCCAGTTGCAGCACCAAATGCGCAAGAATGGAGTCGCTTGATCGTCCAAGAGTAGCACCACACCCTCGCAACGCTGCATTGCACGATAGAAGCTGCTCCTGAAAGGTTGGAGGCCATTGCTAATAGGGTGGAGGCCATCGCTAGTAGGGTGGAGGCTATCGCTATTGGGTTGGAGGGCATCGCTTGTAGGTTGGAGGCCCACGGCTGAACCTGCACCCGACCGTCCAAAACCCCAAGGCTGACTGTCAAAACGATCCGCCGCTTCCAACTCAGTGACCAACCTCACTCAGTGACCGCACAGGAAATGGCAACACCCTTCAGACTCCTGCGCGGGTGTTCTCCCACATCAGCTTCCAAATGATGCTGGTTGTTGGCATAAGCGCACACCTGCAGGTGAGCAACAGACATGATCTACACTTGAGGTGAAAAAACATGGCCTCCTTAGAAACAACATCAACAACCAGCAAATCGTGCTTGAACTCGCATGTGCGTCTGCAACCCGACTATCTTCTTCACCCCTCTTGATCTGGGCAGAAGGTGCCACTCCATTTCGCCCAGGCACCCAGAAGGCCGTGTTCAGCTCCAATTGCCGCACGTGCGCGTGTCTAGACAGATTCGCAACCTGAAGATCTCGTCCGACGGCCGACAACTCAGCCCAGCTGACAATAGCTGAGTTCGTTCGGATGATTTGAGGAATCGACGTCCGGAGCCGGTCCTTTCCAAACTTGAAAACATGAACCTTTGACAAGGCTTCCGAGGTGCATGAATGTTCAGATGTTTCATGCCAGCCACGTGTCCAACCCAAAAACAAAAGCACCGTCCACAAACATCCACAAATGATTATTAAACGATCGTAGAGCGAGACGGCATCTGATCAAACCTGCCCCAAGACCGCAAGCTGCCCAACATCAAATGCTTGGCAGGCAGCAAACAGGCACACAGGCTCCAACCACGCGTGAGACACAAACCATTTGGGTCGTTGTGCCTCCTTTTCCTGGCAAGCAGCACAAATCTCTGCAACAGGAGGGGTGCCACGAGGGGTGGGGTAAGAGCCGACGGGGTTGGTGCGCCAACAGTCCTCCGCAATGAGCTCGACAAAGCTGCAACCAAAAGGCCCGTAGCCTCTCGAGCTTGAAAAATCAATGACCTCACCAACCTACCAGCCAACAAAACTCGATAGCACAGTGCTAGTGCAGCATCCTTCATGACGATGTGAAGGCCAGTATGCCGCAGTATGCCACCAACCTAGATATAGTTCAATATATATATATATATATCTGATGCGACCATCTTTCAGATACGTCGGCTCGTGCACCTTAGTGCACCCGTACAAGCTAGGGCAAGAACACTTGCGCACCTTCACCTCCCAACACATTCTGAACATCCACACCAGCGCGCTAGGCTCACCGGCGCTTATCACAAGTCTGGTCTAGGGTCTAGTCCATTTTGGTCTAGTCTACTGTGCCTTGAGTTGCTGGATTGATGATCCAGTAGCTGGCGTGGTACAAGTTGAACTTCCTCAGTCACACCAAGGCATTGTTATGCAAGTTGGAACATGTCCAAGTACCACCTCTGCTGGAGCAAAGGGGAACTTCTGGGGCTGAGTGAATAGATGATAACTCAGGGACGGGAAGACTGAGTGATTCCAGGATATGGCTGCCCCTTGAACAAACATCATGAGTCGAGTTGGTTGGTGGACCATCTCACTCCTTTCAAACCCGAATCTGTCAGGCCCCAAAAAAACACATCACCTACAAAAACAACAATATCCAGCTGTGGGATTGAAGTTCTGCGTGGTTTCTGCTAGCCTTCCCCTGGTTCTGCCGTCGAAGCCTCTCTTCCGAGATCCGACTGCCGTAGTTGGGGCTGTCCCTGTGCGCTTCGTGCCACGCAAAGGCCTGGCCAACAACTGACTGAGTGAAGACCGAAAGACCCAGTCAGCATAGAGACTTGAAGTAGGAACTTGGGAGGCACCACCCCTTGCATCCATTTCAACACGAAGAATGGATTTGGGGTTCCAGCTGACATGCGAGAACGCAGACTTCTGCCAGGTGTTCGTGGTTCATTTGTCTTCGCCTGATGCCCCATGAAGTGCAGCACTCTGTGCATCTGATGTAGGGTCATGCCTGGCCAATCGACAGGCAAGGACACAAGGCCAGGCAGCAAATGACCAAAAGGGCTCTGTCCAAGCTGCTGCCAAACAAGTACACACACACAAGATAAACCTATACAACCACTTGAAACCAGCGAACAACCCTCTCCGCTTGACAGTCCCCAATCCACCTCGATGCGCCGTGTCGGGGATCCAGCACGGCGTCCCGCGGCTGTTCGCCAACTCCCCAAAATCCACCACGGAGAACCTGCCAGCGCCGGGGTCGCCGCGGTCACGTACGCGCGCGCCTGACCAATGCGCGCCGTTTTGGCCCGGCCCTCGTTCGCCAAGCCACGTCACATCTGAAAAGCTCCTGCCAGTGGCCCCCACATATCGCTCCACCGTATCGGCAATGACCTTGCAAGAGCCCACATTTCAAATCCTACATTTATAAAAGCAGCAGATGTGCAAAGTTAAAAAATAAGATAAACGTACCTCGTGACTTTGAAGGTGCATGTGACCCAGCGATAGCAAGCGCCGGCCTCCTGTGCCGAGGTTGTTCGTTCCAAGAACGGAGAGGACATTTCAAGGACACACAACGCACCCACCCAACGTCGTGACTTTGCGTCAGGCCCACGTTCTCATCTACAAAGGTTGCAGGGTCTTATTTGAGCACGCCAACACATAGAAAAAACGCACCTGACCGAATTTTGGCAACGGTCTCCTGATGTTGGGACATCTTCCAGGAGCTGATGCACCCTTTCCAAGGTATCGCCTGCAGGTTGGGTTCCAACTCTAATTTTAGTTACCTGCCACCACGCTTGAAGTCAATGGACAGAATGCCACACCACATCCTACAGAAGTTCCACTCGCGTGGTGGGCATCAATCACCCCATTTCCCGCACCTTCAGAGGTTTCGAGGCGAAGAATGCGGCCACAAACTTCCACACCAACCGTCAGTGGCTGCATGGCCCTTTACAGGCACAGCCATGCAATGCCAAGTCCAAGTTTCAAAGGCCCAAGTTTCGGATGAAATCCTGTCTTTCTGACGTTGGAACGTTTCCAAGTATTGACCATGTAAGGTGGCCAGTGTCTCACTGTTTTTCATGGCCTGCTCAGGTTGTCCAATTGGTTTTTTGGGGCGCTGTGCCATGATAATTGCGCGTTCTGATGGTGAGGCGGCCGTTTCTGGCCCCGATCATGAAAGTCACTTGACTTGGTTCTTGGGCAACTTGTTTGAGAGCCAAAAAGGCTGTCACAAAGCCAACTGAGTCAGGAAAATGGCCACATGCCAACAATGCCAACCCCTGGAGCCTGAGCCTGTGGGCTCAAAAAAAACCGCAAACATGCCAACAAAAAAGTTAGGTTGAAGTCACTATCACTACCAGCAACCTCCTGATTCAACTCCTACTCTTCGGTTGCTGCTGCGTCATCTTGGTCACTTGGGCATTTTGAGCCAAGAATTCTTGGGCCGTGGGTGGCCTCATGTGACGCCAGCAAGAGGACCGACAACTTCTTGGAACTGCAATGGGTGAGGTCAGATGTTTCTCATGAGTTCGTCTTCTCAACGCGCGCGTCCCGGTGGCACGGTTCCCAACCGGCCAAAGCTGCAAACTGTGGACACTGTGGGCTTTGGTTTTTAGCCTGATGGTCGCCGTTCAAAATAACCTATACATCAAGTTGTGAGCTATCCGAAACGCGGATTTTTTTTTTTCAGCAGCAGCTGTGGACAAGGCCGCCTGATTGCGGATACCGTTACGCAGCGTGCAGTTCCAGTCATGCTGAGCAGGCTGCAAAAATGTAATCAGGGCATGTGAGGGAATGAATAAACGTCGAAACAAACTTTATGGGACCGCATTTGTTTACACATTGGGTGAGGTTTGGGATGAGGTCGAGTTGACCTCTCACCTGAATTCATGAAGAACAGAAGGCGGCGAACCAATCACTGAAGCCATCTGCCAGAAGTGCGGATGCACATTCAACCAGGAACCAAGCAATTACCGGCACACAAACTTGAGAGCTTGTCGCACAAGTTAAGTGTCTGTCGCAAGCAGTGCGATCATTCGCACAAAGGATTGTGTTTTGCCAAGGCATGTGAAGACCGTGAATGTTCCTGCTTTGCATCGACGAACACTTCTTTATTTTTCGGAGCAAGCGTGTTCCCTCTATGTCCTACCCCCAGCTACATTGGAGTAACAATGCACTCGGCTGCTCTTTGTAGATTGTCAGCCATTCCATGGAAACCTTTGGCTGTGGGTCATGTCACCGGGGGACGCTGGTTGACTGCCAGGGAGGTTAACCTACCCGAATGTTTTGGGGCTCTCACAGATGTCATTGGCATTCTGAAAGCCTCCACTTTTCCACGGCCACGACCCACCGGCCACGGATGTCGCGAGATTGGTGAGGCCCAAGACGTGTAGTGAGCGGCGATGCAAATCTCAAAAAATTGAAATGGCTCCAAACTGGAACATTGGCACTCAGAAAATCACATGAGGTTATATAGTTCCTGCAATTTCAAGCATTGACCCAACAAATGGCTGCAAATGCAAGAGCACCAAGTAGAGATATAAGTATACTACAACAATCCTCGTTGTGCACGCCCATTAAACAATTATATGGTCCTGAAAGCATTCCATGTTGACATAACAACCCTCCACAACACGTCTTTTTCTCCAGCAGCGCAGGCACCTCCAAGGTCATCGTGCTTCACCAGCTCTAACTGCTTTGCACTGGAGTTCAGGGCCACCACACAGGTGCTGCTTTTAAGCCACAAGGGCTTCAAGCGGCTTCAGAAGGTGTCAGCAAGTGAAAATTGTCTTTCCCACCTACTCATTAGTATTGCCTGGGATGTGCTTTACCATCTGCTCAGTCATCTAAAAGTCCGATTGGGAAATCTGCTTCAGGCACGGCAAGAGAAGTGGCGGCTGTGTCTTTCATTTCTGCCAAGCTCCCAACATCTCCAGCCACGTGTTGGGAAGCAAACCCTTGATGAATGTCACATGTGGGAAGACGGCATCGCCCCATGCTGCAAACCACCGCGGGGGCATCTCGATAAATGTCCCATTCATCCATCTGCCGAGAAAGTTGCACAGCCGATGCAAAGGGAAAGGTCAAACATGCGAGGTCCCGTACTTGCTGCGAGCCACTGTAAGCATGGACAAAAGACTCCACCAGGAATCGAAGATTGCTTCGCACAGAACAAGCCAAGCGAACACCAGCTTCAGCGCATACCCGCCCAGCTCTCAAAGCGGAATAAGTGTCGGGAAACTCTGCTACTATGACCTCAATCAATCACGCACAACATATCCTTTGGACTGGGTTTTTCAAACAGAGAGCCCGCGAACCCGGGGCACACACATATGCAAACACAAACAGCCAAACATTGTCTGACAAGTAAGTACACTCTTCAAAGACACCCTGGACGGACATTCTGGGCGACACTCTTGAAGGACACCGCCTTCATGCGACACTCTTGCTTGACACTTGTAGGGCAATGTTGTAGGACACTCTTGTGGGAAACTCTTGTGGGACTCTCTCTTATACTTATAGAACACGCTTGTGCGACACTTGTCAATCTCAATGGCAGGACACGAAACAGACTCAAAACATTGCGCCTGCGCAGCAGAATCATCCTTCACACTTGAAACGTTATTTCACCCGAATCTGAGATCTCACGTTTCCATCCAGAAGCTTTCCCCAACCAGAGAGCCTTTGCTTCACATTATTCAAACAGTTGCGGATGGTTGCGGACGGTTGCGAACATGAGAACCCCAGAGCTACACATCGGGAAAAAAAAACAAATAACAAGAACAAGCCAGTCAAGGACTACCAACTAACAAGAAGCAAAACCCCAATGACACGCTGCACCTCGGGGACGTGTTCATCAATTGCTTCTCGGATTGTCTGAGCTTCACTGCCACTGCCCCAGCACTGGTAGTCAAGGTCAGGAGAGGACTCCATGTCAGCCAAATGGCCCAGAAAGTCAAGCACCAACACCTGCAGTAGGGTAGATCAGCATTTCCAACTCAAAATGATTGAAAGCTGGATGCTGGGTGTCTATAACAGGACAATTGAACATGTGAGCAGGTACCAGAACATCCGCAAAACAAACGGCACTCTGTGCCATGCATCTCGCAGTGCACCTGTCTTACTATGTCCTACGGGAAGGCTGCACGACAAGTCAATAGAAGATCTTTGAAGTTGAGGCACTTGCAGTTCTTTGGACATGTTGACCGCAACATCACGCAGGATCGTGGTTTTACCACAGCCAGCAGGGCCCACGAAAATGGTGGAACCGGCATCCAACAGATCGCCAGCTTTGCTCCAAAGACCCGGCAAATAGCCTGAGGTCAAGCCATTCACGAAGCAACTTGCCGGCAACCCCCAACCGAAGGATAAACTGATGACAGCTTTCGGAACAACACTGCCCTTCCAACGACCAAACTCGCACGTAGATTTATATATCTCACTAATCATAAACTTGGTGAAATGCTGCATCCAAGTGGCGGCCAACATGAATTGTGATGCTGCGAAGTCGATCTGAGTCTGACGACTTGAAATGGGCTCGATGGGGTGATCCAGGGATTGGCACGAGCCCAGGCAACTTCCTCCAGCCTAGCCTGTGGACAGGGACACCCACAACTGTTCAGACTGATCCGGAACAAAGTAAGTCATGCTCTTGTCCTGACTCCGCTCGGCTGGGCCTCTTGGCCAAGTCATCCAGATCCTTTTGGCACAGCACCGTGGATGGTAGCATGGCTGGCTCCAACCAACCGCTTCGCAATGCCACCTGCGGAGATCACTTATCAGGGAGCAGAGATGCTTTCAACTCTTCTGCACTTGAGGTATTATTTTTGGATTCCTGAGACGTCACAGATGGGTCCGTCAACTTCGATGCCTTCATGGAAGAATCCGCCCGGTACAGCAGTCGATGTGCCGTGGACTGCAAGATCTCCAGCACTTCCCTTGAGATTTCTCTGTTGAGACGCGAAGGCAGAAGCATCCGAAAGGCTCCTTCCAGGGTCAAAAGGTTCAACAGGGGTGGAGATCCAAGCAGCACGACAAGACGGAGACACTTCATGGGCTTAGAAATATGATATGTATATATATATATACATATTGATGGCATCCTGCATCTTGATCTTCACGTCTATTGGAGCCAGCAGCTCCAGCTGCAGCGTCTGCAACCTCAAATATGGGGACTTAGATGTTAAGTGCTTCAGCTTTTGCATTTCGATGTCCAGTCTAGATGACACCTGTCCTGCTTGCCCTCCGGGTTGCCTTGTGTCAGCGGAAACCGTGGACACCATTTTGCCACCTTCAGAGACCCAAATGAGGAAATGCGGTTGCTCCTCCAAGTACTTCTCAAGATCCACTTGCGAGGCAAATTGGGCCATACAAACCTGATCCCATTCCAACCGATCAAGGCTCAGGCGTCCACCAGCTTCATTGATGACAGAGCACAAGTGGGATGACAAAGAATTGAGCACTTCAGAAGCTCTTGCCTCGCTTCTGTCAGCAACATGATTTTGTGGCATTGAAGTGTCCGGCTCGTCCTTGGAATCATTTCCTCCCAAACCATACTTTTCCGTGTGTCGCGGAGGACTGTCAATGAGCGACACGGAATGTCCAAAAACACTGCTCGAAAGGCTAAAAATATTTGAGCGCCGCTTCAAGAAGGATAGCACGAGTTGACAAGTATCTGGGTTGTTTCGAAGACCCACAAGCTCTGGGATAGCGAACAGCGAAAGAGGCTGCGGAGCACAAACCGAACGCAAAGCTTCTTCCAGAGAAGATTCGGTGAAGCCGTCCCAGATTTCCGCTTCAGCGAATTGACCTGATTGACGCAACAATTGTCAAATGGTCAAACGCTAATTGTAAAAATGAAAGGTGTGCTTGAATCCAAATATGTCATGTCAAGGCTTTGATTTGGCTTTGATACATCCTTTGACTTGACCAACCAGATAAAGTAAGCTGAAGCACCACCGAGCCACACTCAGAAGGATCACCATCCCTAACGCCTGTCCCGTCCTGCAGGCCGTAAGCTTTCACTTTCACACCTATGCCCAGACAGCACCACTAGATTCATCGGATCGAAATCAAAAACAACAGAATGCAAAACCATCCAAGTCCTGTTCCAAACTTTCCAAGGATGATATCTTTAGGTGTGGACCAGCATCTAAGCCCAAAAGTGTCAAAGCCTCCATGCAGCCAGTGAGCGTGACAACAAAGTCCACAACTGTGAAAAGATAAGGTTTTCCATGCAAATAGTCTTCCAGGCTGCTGGGTGGAGCCTCCAGCCACCCGCCCAGCTCTCCAATGCGTTGAAGCTTCCAAAGTGCGGACCCCGAGGAACGGCGAATTTCATTTCCCAACTCGACATCCCACATGGTTGGAGCTGTCGGGGGGTTGATGGCTGCAAGAGCGAAGCTCATGCTTGGAAAGCAATCAGCTCTGCTTTGCGAGAAAAATGTCACTGATTCGCCATCGTTGGTGGTTGAAAATTTAGGGGACTTCCGGGAGAGTTTGGTGACTTTCTTTTTCACCTGCACTTTGACTTCCACCCTGCGAAGCCTCTCAAATTCCTTGAGTACCCACAGCCGTCGGTTGCCGGACCAAGCGTACAAAACACCGCCATCTTCGAAAACATCTATTTGAGGAATCTGGTGTGGAAGGAGGTCTCCATCGAGAAGTTCTTTCAACATAGTCGCAACAAGACATCCATCTTGAAAAACGACTCGGACACTGTCGTGGCTCCAGCGTATTGAGGACACTGGCACCACAGATTCTTCTTCACTTGCAACACTTTGGAGCATACTCCTTTGTGATGTGGCTGCAACGGTGGCTGTTGCAGTGCCTGCAGCCGTCTCAACAATTTTTTGTCAATGTCCATGGACACACTTTGCCAGGCGATTGCACGCCACAAGTGACGACTGAGGTTTTCCATGTTGTTTGCCCTGGTGCGTCATTTTGGCAAAACAATTACCCCTGAGAAAGCAGCAGCAGAAAGTTGCTAAACAAACACGACCCTGATTCCCATCTGACTCCAAGGAAAACAGCCCGTCGTAGTCGCTGCAAAAACTTCTCAGGCCAGCGCTTGAGATCAGATCCTTGTGGTTGGGATGCACCCTGTAGTACTGACCAAGATCACCTCCCCTCATTGAACCACCGACACTGTGCACGTACAAGAACAGGCTTGCAGCAACAGCATCTGCAGTCACACTCCCCGAAAGTGTGGCTAAAACGGGACGCCATATTTGTTGCGGAACATCCGCAGTAGTGGATTCGCACCTTGCTGCAGTCTTCAAGAGTTTCTGCCAATGTTCATGGGGACAATCAGCTCGGAGATGGCAAACCACTGGGGTGGACTGAGGTTTTTCGTGCAATCTGCCTTGGTGGTTTTTGTTGTGATTGCACGAATCCCTGAGGAAGTGGCAGCAAAATGACGCTAAGCAGACTCGTCCACTGTGCTCATCAGCCTCAAAAGCAAATAAACCATCATAGCCGCTGCAAAAATTTCTGAGACCAGGGCCTGAGATGAAATCCTTATGAGTTGGGTGGGCCTTGTAGTAGTCTCCCATTTGGCTGCCCATCAATGACCCACCACTCTGGTGCGCATACAAGGCTAGGTTTGCAGCCACCATCTGCGCAGTCTGAGTTGGAGGGGTTCCCTTGCCTTTGCCTTTTCCTTTGAGATTTGCCTTGGCAATAGCCTTGTGGTCTTTCGTCATTGGCACCTTGAGGCAATAGTGGGGCCCTGCTGCAGCACTTACAGAGATGCGATCCGGATGTTGTGCACAAAAGGTGCGAATGTTCTTCACCAGGGCACGATATGTAGGATGCCTTGCATAAAACGGTTGCAGTCTTTCTGTTGTAATCGCACCACCCTGGTCGAGAATATATCGCACCAAATCCAAACAAATCTGTTCACTTTGTTTCTTTGACAACGCCATGGCTTTTCATCAACTTAACAACGACTAGGGCACATGCGAAGACATGGTTCGTTTTACTGGTCAAGTGAGTAAATGCCAAAGCCTGCACAACAATGAACAGCTCTTCACGCCAACTGTTCGAAAGAAAAATGTACTGTGTTTTTACGTCGGGTTGGACGGTTCATTGGCCAAACATTGATGTTTGCCTGGCACTGAACTTGTCCATGTTGATTCAGTCGCAACAGGGTCTGAAAACTCGTGGGCGCAGTGCTGACAGGCAGAAACTTCAAGCATGCCTTTATGAATCCAACGGCTACAGTTGGACGATGTAACCATGTGCGAATAAAACTTAGCGAACCTTACAACATACTTTTGAAGTTGCCCTAGCCTTTTTTAAAAAAAATACATGTTAAAAAAATGACAACTTGGAAACACTCGACATCTTGGAGGAAACCATCCCGCGGCGTCCAGCGCGACGGTGGGCTGAAGGGTGCATAATTGTTAGATGGGGGCGCCACATTGGCCCGCAAACCAAGGGCGAAGGAAAGGGAGAAGGGAAAGAATAAAGGAATGGAAGGGAACGGTTATATCGATGTTTCAGGATGTTCAAGTTGTTCCCAAAGAATTCCTCAACAATGACTTGAGAGTTGCTCAGGACGTGCCTGTGTGCGTGGCACACCTTGAACATAGAACATGCCGGAAACACGGGGTTCAAACAAAACATGTAAATTCAGTTTGTGTACGCCTTGTTTATGCATACTCTCTTGACTCCTGTTGCCTCAAACAATTCACATATACAAAATCAATATATCATACATAGTTTTGTGACTGTGTGTTTTCTCTCAATGTTTGTGCCCCTTCCCATGTAGAGTCCCGGCTGCCTGTGTGCATGGCACACTTTAAACTAGAACATCGAGTCTCCCAGAACCATGGTCCTAGAACACGGCAAGGACATAGAACGTGGTAAATGTTGCAATTTCCTTTTTGGGATGCTTGAAACAAATATAAATTGTGATGACACACGCTGTGAGTCATGTTTCCCGTGTTTGAACATACTTCACCGCTCCGAGAGGGCGGGCTCGAACTGCCAAAAGGTCTGGCCGCGGTGCGACGTCCGTACGTCCTTTCGTGCTTCGATCTCGATCGATTCGACTTTCCTCGGTTCCGACCTCGTGAGCGAGAACCACTCCAGCTACATTGGTAGCGGAGCCCGGGGCGACCCGGGCTCCCCGCGCACTTCGCTACGACGCCATCCTCGCTCGGGATAAGCCCTTCGTCAAGGTCGGTCAAAGGAGCTCTATTTTCCTGTGTTTGTCTGTGCTGGTTTCTTTCCATCGCCTACCACATCACCCCTGGCTACCAGCACGACAGAGTGGAGCACTTTGAACCAATGCCACCATCTGGAAAGAAGACGAGGACGCAGGCTTCCAGCTCAGATGGCAAAGAGAGTTCCGGCTTCCTGGACTTGAGGGACAGCTACGTCCCCACCTTCAGTGGACAGCCCGCTGATTATCGTGAATGGCGCCAACGACTACATCTATACCAGAGGAAGATGGCCATCACGAAGCAGGGCCATGAAGCCGTGCTCAACCTGGTCGGTTCCTTCACCGGCGTGACTTGGCGCCTCTTCCAGGACTGGACCATCGAGGAGCTTGAGAAAGAGGACGCATTCGAGCGCATTGTGAAGACCCTGGATGCCAATTTCTCCTACGACGCTCGCGTCCAGCTCCCAAATGATTTTGAGGGCTACTGCAACCTGTTGCAAAGACGGGGTGGTCAGACTTTGCTGCTCTACGTCACTGACCACGAAGAAGCATACCGCAAGCTTCAGCAGCACAAGGTGGAGCTTCCATCATCAGTTCAAGGATGGCATCTCCTACGACGAGCTTCACTGAGTCGCGAACAGCGACAGATGATCACTTTGAAGGCCCCAAGTCTTGAGAAGCAGGCTGTGATCGAGGCGATGTACCTCATCCTGGGTCAGGACTACAAGGGCGGTGGATGGAATGTTGAACGAAATCGGAAGTTCAACCAGTCCTCCTGGCGATCCCGTCGGCCTATGCAGCCGATGATGACTACGACTATGAAGAAGACGATCAATGGCCTGAGTCCGGCTACTTCGAGACTGACGATCACTGGCCTGAGGACGCCTATGAGCCCGACTATGAGGACCCAAAGGAATTCGACTACAATGCAGGCTATTTTGGTGGTGAGGAGCCTTGGCCTGACAACAGCAGCACCACCGAGAACTACAATCCGCAAGTTATGGCGGAAGAGTTTGATCAGGCCTTCGCATCCTACACCGATGCACGGAAACGCTTCCAGGAGTTGAAGATGGCCAGAGGCTACCTGCCCATCGTTGCTTTGACTGATGGACAGCAGGGTTCACCTCCATCGTCCAGCACCACCAACTCACCGACCTCATCGGCCACTACCTGGAGAGCAAAAGGAAAAGGAAAAGGGGGTAAGAAAGGCAAGTCCAAGACAACGGTGCGCTATCCTCCTCAAGGAGCTGGCAAGTTTGATCCCAAAGGCCGTGCAAAGGCCAACTTGACGTGTCTTCGCTGCGGCCAACCTGGACACTGGGCAGCCAACTGCCCGCAGGGATCCTCCTCACCGACTTCAAGAACAGGCACCAAACGACCTGCCTCGACCACAGAAGGGATGGCACATGTGGTTCCACCGTCCGAGACGGCCTTGCTGACCTTCCAGGACTCTGAAGGTCGTGAACGACCAGACTGTGTGATGCTTGATCCTGGAGCCAGTGCATTCCTGTCAGGCTATGGTCCCTTCAGCCGACTGGTGACGCACTACAAGGACATCGGCTACCCTGTCGACTGCATCAAGATGATCACAATGGTCAGACTGGAGCGCACACATCCCAGTCTTTGTGGACGGCAAGTATGGCACCATTGAGCTCTTCCTTCTTCCGGGCAACACGCCCATGCTCTGTGGTCGGCCCATCATTGAGGCGCTTGGCATGTCCATGGACTTTGCTCGCCGTCTCCTTCGCATTGGTGGAAGTCCCTGGCAGAGCGCTACCTTGGGCAGACAGGGTGAATATCTATGGTCCATCACCCACGAACATGATCTCATGCAGTACGACCCCATGAAGCCCAACTTCGAACTGCGCACCAATGAGCCAGATGTGCATCAGATCGATGGCTACACCCTTCCTGACTTCATCAAGGAAGAGAAGGTGTTCACCTCAATGGATGCTCCTCAGGATGCGCCCATCGTCCCTGGCATCAACTACCTCAAGAAGAACGAGCTCAAGACCATGGATGTGCAGCTCAACACGCACATCAATGACCTCTCTGCCTTCCTGACACAGGAGCTGCATCGACCTGAGCGGCCACGTGTTCTCTGGGAGGTGTACTGTGGCAAAGCGAGGACCTCACAGATCGCAAGATCGTTTGGCACGGAGACCCGTCAATTCTCCTTGGAGACGGGCTGGAACTTCGAGCTGCTGGATCACCAGGAACAGTTCCTCGTCCTTGTCGATGAAGAAATGCCGGACGAGATCCTCATTGCTCCCGAGTGCAAGCTCTGGTCACGGATGCAATCTCTGGGTCGCAGGACTCCGGCTCAGAAAGAAGCTCTGGTCGCTGCTCGACAACATCATCATGACCGCCACCTCAAGTTCACCAAGAAGGTCTACCTCAAGCAGCTGACCGGTGGACGACATGCCACGATCGAGCAGCCGAAGGACGCCTTGTCCTGGCAGACGAAAGCCCTTCGAGATCTTCCAGGCCACACCACCGACTTCTCGCAGTGTCGCTACGGCGCCCAATGCCTGGATGATGATGGTCAATGGAAGCCAGTGCTGAAGAACACACGCCTTCGCACCACCAAGAAGGCGGTTCAAGATGCTCTTTGCCTTCAATGCCTCCACGACCATGAGCACTGCCGTCTTGAAGGATCTGCCCGTGGCTTCGGCGTGAGAACACGCTACATGGAGGACTACCAACCTGGCCTCGCAGCTACACTGGCTGCAGCCCTCAGCGTGGATGAACCACCGCTTCATTGGGAGCATGCCCACGCAGCCACGGAAGAGAAGGAGGTGATGGGCTCTCTGGTTCGCCTCAAGGCCAACACCAAGCAAGAAGCCATCCGGGTAGTGCAACGACTACATCGGAACCTTGGTCACCCTTCAGCCGAAGCCTTGAGTGAGTTGCTGGCGGCCAGAGGTGCTTCCGAGACCATCGTGCAAGCAGCAAAAGGCTATGTTTGCCTGGCATGCGCTAAATACAAGAAGCCTCAACAAGCCGCACCTGCAGCTATGCCCACAACCGACAAGTTCAATGATGCAGTGCAGGCTGACGTTCTTTGGGTACGTCGAGGCTCCACAAAGTACGCCATCATGTCCATGGTTGACACTGCCACCCGCTACACAGCAGCAGCACTCCTACGGTCAGAGGCCTCAGAAGAGTACATCAAAGCAGTTGAACGCATGTGGATCGCACACTTTGGAGCACCCAACAAGCTCGTGACCGACTCTGGAAGACCCTGGTTGGGCCACACCATGGACGCATGGACCTCAGCCCACAGCATCGACCACATCGTTGCTCCAGGCGAAGCTCACGAGAGACTTGCTTTGGTGGAGAGGCGACACGCCCTCATCCGACGTGCAGTCGAGATCTACATGGACGACCTCGGCATTGACCATGTCGCTGGCCTCAAGGAAGGACTGACTTACATCATCCCACAGATGAACGCCACACCTTCAGTGGCAGGCTTCAGTCCAGCTCAATGGGTTCTTGGCTACCAGCCCAGCTCAGTGGTGACCTCCTGTCAGATTCCTTCCAGCCAGTGCACTTTGGTGGCAACCCGGACTTCGAAGACCTCTTGAACAAGAGACATGCCGCCAAGAAGGCCCTGCTCGAGGCCGACACGGACCGCCGACTCAGGCGAGCACTCGGCATGAAGTACAAGGGCACCAACACTGAGTACCAGTTGGGCCAGAAGGTCTGGTTCTGGCGTGACGCCAAGCAGCCCGACCTAGTCAAGATCCGATGGTTGGGACCTGCTCACGTGGTCATGAAGGAGTACAAGGAACCTCAACGGCCCGACA